CTAGAGATTTTTCTAAAAATCAAACTAAGTCCGGAATTAAACTGGTATACTTAAACTGAATTGTTTTAACTCGAAAAATACTCGAATTTATACTAATAAAAATCTTGGACTTAATTATAATAATAATAAAGAATTATACCTTCTTTCGAATAGACGAAAAGCTGAAAAATTTTAGAAAACGAAGCCTCGAACGATCGAACTCGTCCTCGACAAATTTGCTCCTTTTGATACTATTTAAACAGAAATTCAAACTCCCATAATAAGTGCTCGGAACTTCGAAAAATGTGAAATTTATCCGTATGGAATCGTGCTTGAATTATCTACACACTCCAACTCGACTCTCGTTAAATCGAGGTCACATGCAACCTTACGGAACCCCGCAAAACAGCTTTTTATTCTTCTATTATGCGCACTCGATTTCGAGCTTCTCAAAATAAATGCTCGAAACTTCTAAACGTGAAATAAATTTTACGAACGGCTTCTACTGTTCTCGTGCTTTCAAGAAAGCACTCCCGCTAATTTTCAGCATGCCTAACGAGGACCGATGGTTACCCGAAGTCTACACAAGAAAATGACAATAAAATCACCGTCACTGCCATTTTTCTCTCAACTTCGGGCTACCCAAAATAAATGGTCGGGACCTCAAAATCATAAATCGATGCCACCAACGCACTCTCCGCTTCCCGTACATTCATAAAAGTATTTTTCGGTAATGATCGACTCGGATTTTGAGTCCCGTCGGTACACCGCAAGTCGGCTAATTAACCAACTCAAAATATAATAAAAATGAAAAAATTATTAAATTTTGCTGCTCTTATAGTTCTCCTTGTCCCGAAACCGGAATCCCGTTTCGGGAAGGGCCCAATTTGCCTTTAAAAAAAAATTTTACGACAAAACCATTGGCGTCCCTCCGGCCATGTATGTACCGCATGAAACCGGGGAGGGCCCAACATGCGCGCTCAAAGGAAAATCTTCCAGTTTCAGCAAATCCTCCACCCCTAGTTTAAATTTCTTTTTTTTGGAGGGGCCGGCGCCTCTCCGACCCCCCACATGGTTTCGCCCCAGTCACCACCCAAACAATCACAAAACTGCCTGCTCCAAATCTCATAACCTCATGAAAAACCCTAGCAAACGCAGTTTCATTAATCATCTACTCAAAAATGTAATTTTTATAACTGCTGGGGTGGTTTCGAACGGGATCCGATGATTCGGCCTTTTTTTATTATTATCTTTTAGTTATTTTTCATAGTTTTTGAATCGGGACGACTCAAAAATCTGCGGTTTACTGAACTGGCCTGCATACATATATTTTCAGGCCAGTTTAGGGCCTCCAAAACCACGGTCTGTAACCGCCATTTGGCCATGTCTAGGAAAGCAAAATTTCATTTTTTATCCATATATTGATCATTTTTCAGGAAAGAACCAACATTTTAGCAGACATCAAACTTAGTACAATAAGTTGAAAAATTCATCATATTTAATCCAATAATCAGGAGGTCCAAATAATTTGCCAACGTGTCATGATTAGTATTTTCCACGTCATTTCTCAAACCAATTAGTTTCTGGGTGGCGATGACTGGTCGAATGCCAGTCCAGGTAAAATTTCATTTTTTGTCCATTATATTGACCATTTTTTCAAGAAATATCGGAAAACATCAAAGTTAGTACAATAAGTTGAAAAAATCATCATATTTCGTCAAATAATTAAGCGGTCCGAATAATTTGCCTACCTGTCATGATTGGCACGTCATTTTTCAAGTCGAATTAATTTTCAGGCAGCGATGTTTTGTAGTAATTTGGGGGATAGTTGGTAACCTAGTTACTCAAACTCGGGTCGTTCTGTAAGGAAGACTATTTGGAGCTTTGTTCACTAATTAATTGCTCAAAACACGCAAAGATCAAATAAATCTTAAATATTCTATTAAAGGTGGATGGGTTTGAATTAAGACTAATCTTAATTAGGAAATTAAGAGCGATTGAAAGCAAGCAAACCAAACGAGAGCTAAACGAGAAAAGATGGGAATTTAAACTAGTGGAGTCTCTACTAATCAAAACTAAGCCCTAGGTAATTAATACTATCTTTCTAAACTAAATGATTAAGCTTTAATTAAGGTCTCAACCCTTAAAACTAGATAAGCAAGTAATTAACTATTCTAATCGCTTAGACAAACAATAAAAACAAATAATACTCTAAACTTTCCCTCATTCATCAAGCAAACACTCAAATTTACTTTGAAAAGCATCATAAGCAAAAACGAGACAAACACGGGGTAATGAGGGTATTAGAAGCTAGTACTCATTCCCATATCGCATGCTAGACGAAAATCAAAACAAAAAAGCTTAGAACTTGAATAATAACGATGTCACCAGAAAATTTACTGGAAAATTATGTCATAGATTTCCAACAAAATTTAGAGAGAAAACTAAATATGAGAGAACATTTCCTAAAGTAGCAAAGTGAAAAATGAAATCTAGGTGCTTCAAATACAAAGCACTAAATGTAAGTATAGTTGCCCAACAAAAAACACACACTTCTGACACACACATTTAATGATTTTATAATTTTGCTAGTCTTGAAATCAATCTCGCAATGAGTGTGTGGTGTGCTTAGGCTGTCAGGGTCTAGTTCGCCAGTCTCAAAAGCGAGATCACAGTGAGTGCCGCTGTGTGGCAAGACAGACATGGGCACGCTCGCGGCACGCGAACGGAGATTCGTTGTGACTGCGGCGCTGATGGATGCCTCGAGTCGTTGTTCGCGGCTCGCGAACAGCAGTTCGCTGCGAGTGTGCATGGTGGCGTTTTACGCGGGCGCAACTGTAGTTTTGCGGTGAATCTCGTGGTCTTGTGTCTGGTTTCGCGCGCTCGCGAAGAGGAGTTCGCTACGAGTGGGCGTCTGGTGTGCTAGTCACTCGCGACGCGAGTCGTAGCTCGCAGTGAACCCGCCAGGCGTGCGGGGAGGCTAAGGCTCGCGTGTCTTGACTCGGAAAGACTCAGACGGCTCGATCAACGGCTAAGCTATGGTTCGGACGGCTCGAAAATGGCTCGTCTCCCAAACTTGAACAATGTGGACCTAATCAACAACAAAATATGCAAGAAAAAGTACGGCAAAACACAAAAACACAAATCGAGAACAGAAATATACGAAACACAATAAAATGGACCGGTCGACACTAAAATGAACCTGAAAATACTTTACTAAAACACATAAAACACACAAAAACAAGTAGAAAAACACAATGAACAACTCCCTCACACTTACCTCTTTGCTTGTCCTCAAGCAAACAAACAACAAGTACTTCGAGAAAAAAAATCGATCGGTCCAAAATTAATGATCATGCGAAATGCAACTCTCTTCTTCATCCGGTTATCCAAAAAATTAAACATCAATTTAAAAACACAGTTCGCACAAAATGAATTCATACAAAACAAAAACCCGTCCTGAGTCATTCAACACATGATTTATTCGATTCAAACTCTCTTCTTCTACATACACGTACAAAAAGATATAAATGGTATACTTAACATATAAGAGACAACAAGAACGAAACCAATGAAGCCAACTCCTCATTTTTTTTTTCTATTTTCTCTTCTTTTTTTTACATGAGTCAATTTCTTCAAATGAGAGTCGTTAGGATGATTATTACCTAGGTTTAACCTCCATAAAAAAATTAAAAAAGAACAACAACCGTGCTTCGAAACTTGAATAGTCTAACTCATTCACACAAGAACCAACAACAAAATTAATCACATAATAAAACAAGAATAATGCAGTTAAATCATACAAGCCAAAAACAAGCAATTTCATAATGTTTTTTCAACTCTCATGTGCTTTAGATGGACATTATATTTTGCGTTTATAGTCAGTTATACTATATAGTGGGATTTTTATTTACATGACATTTTTATCTAACCATTATTCGCAAACAAGTCTCCAAAACAGAGTCATTACTCGTCAAAAGAATAAACAAGTAAGCGGAGTACAATCCAATCGATTTGTCTTGCGGCCGCCCTGCCTCGCAAAAGGGGCGGGTTGGGCCTCAGTATTCTAGGCCCGCAAGAGAGCGAGCCTACATGGGCTGGTGACCGCGCGTCGCGACACGGCAAACTTAAATTTATAAAGTTTCCTTAACAAACCTCTACTAACTAGTAGTAGCGGCGAGTAAGGGTCGATCCCACGAGGAGCAGGAATTAAGTCGTGACAAATTTCGTATTAATCGAACTAAAACTAAGAAAACAGTAAAATGGGGGGTTTGGTTGTAAAACTAAAAATAAGAAAATAAAATAAAAATCAAATAAAATGTGAGAAGTCCAGTTTTCGGTTCAGTTATCGCCCAAATCCCAATCTACCGTTAATTAATTTCGACGCTTTCTTTAAATTGTTAAAGAATTACCAACCCTAGCTAACAACAAGCTCTATTAACCGAATTTTCCCTTATAGAATATTTAGATTAAATAAGGTCTTCGACCAAGCCTAACTAGCGGACAACCTAGAATAAGCTTTCTAGATTTAATTCACTAGCAGCATTAATCACTAGGAAAATAGATCAGTCTAAGCAATGGACGCGCAAGCTCG